TTATTCTCCATTTTGGCTTAAAGAATAACAAAAAATATTCATTGATTATCAAATTGGTTGCTGATAACTTTTTTCTGTCCATGAACTACTCTAATAATCTAAAAATAATTTCAGTTCTTCTGAAAACAAATTCGAATTTTTTTGCTGTGATGTTTCAAGCACGTTGCTATGGCAAATATATTCTTTACCAGGAGCATCTATCTGTGCAGATTTCCCATTCTGGGATATTTTATTTATCCAGCACCCAGTCAAAATGTTAGTTTTAACTGGATCTGTGTGTTTTTTCCCCCACATTTTTAGCTCTTGAGTTACAGATCCAATGGGTACGTTAAATGAGTAGTGATGGCATCTTTACTGTATATCAAGAGAATATGACTGAATGTGTACAAGGTTGTGAAGGAACTTGAAACCTACTTGTTGTCTTTGTTGAGCGACACTTCCTTCGTGACCTCCCTCTCTGCCTCCTTCACGATCTTCTGTCTGCAAACGTAGAAACTCCCGTCTCAACGTCCACTCACCAGGAACATTCACGATTGAGCTGAGAGAAGGCGAGAGAGTAGGAGAGGGAGAGAGAGAGGCAGAGAGAGAAATGGTGTGATATTTACGGCGACAGCTATGTACCAAGAGAAAATGGGCACAGTTACACAAATACACACTTAAAGCTCATCCTAGGAGAAAGTGCCCAGCTCCAAGTGCCATCTGCTGTTTAAAGTCCAGAGACAGTAACAGTGAGGCTAGTGCATCTGTCCATTACCATAAAAAAACAGACACACACACATATGCCCCGCAGTGACTCATTCGAAATTAATTTACTGGGGGAGTGTTTGTGTACTGATAAACAAAACAGTGATAATGAAAGCGATGATCATTTTTTATAAAAATCAGACACTTCACCTGGTTTCTAACCATATATATCTTGACATCATATTGCAGAATCAGTGCATCTCACAAGGTTCATTAAATTAACATTTCTTTTTGCATATGTAACTCTGCACCAACTGCTGTGGTTCTAAATTATTTCTCAGCACAGTTGAGCACACTTTCCTAACACACCCTGGGATCCCCATCAGCATTTGTTCCATGGCCTCTGACAGCTGAGTGGTTAAGGTGCAAAGCCACATATACGCACATGATGACCATGGTTCCGTGACTGTTGTAACATGTCACACATTTTTTTCTCTGCCCTTGTTTCCTTTTTATCTTTAACTGTGAAGTGTCAAATAAAGAAACGATATTCAATATCGTGTGAAAAGGCTTTTACCTGGGCTCTCCTTCCTCCTCTGTTACCTCATCCTCCTCTTCTTCACTGCCACTGTACTCATACTCTGGACCCTCTGAATGCGATGGAAAGAAAGAAAGAGAGATTTTATTGAATTGACATAAAACAAAAATCCAATATCTCCTCACCAGTAGCAATGGAAACAGAAGCAGTATCTTTTAATGCTCCTTTTATACAAATATTTAGACAGCTATTAGAGCTGAAATGATTAGTTGATTAATCTCTGACTGACAGGAAATGATGGATTAATCATTTAAGTTTTTTTCCACAAACAGAAACACCATCCACACTCTGGCTCTAGTGTGAATATCTGAGCTTTAGACTCATGCTCAGTCAAATTGAGCATTAACAAGATGTCACACTGGGCATTTGGAAGTTGTGACACTGTTGTCACATTAAAGCTAGGGTTGGTAATTCTGGAGAACCAAGCAGGAGTGGGCTCCCAAAAGAAAACTAGAGGCCGACTTCCTCATGCTTTGCTTGCTAATTTTTGACTCGTCTCTGCTTCAGTGGTGTATCCTCTCCAGCTGCGCAGTGACAGCACAGGCAGGCCTGTCGATTAGTGACAGACAGGTATGCAAATCATTGTATTCTGTCCTGTGAGGGGCCATAGACACCAGCTTTTTTTTCTACAAATAAGACAAAAAGTGTTAAAGAAATCAATTATCGACACTACCTATATTTGATTGATTGTGATATATAATATTCAACTGCAGCTTTAATGGCTAAATCACAGTGGGTCTACATCTTTGAAACACCAGCTGCATAACACTTGTGGAATGTGCCCCACTTTACTCTTGACTTACTTGTCCATGTTAATATGAGCTGCATGTCTGTAAGTGTTGTCAGAACACTGAGGTACGGTTTATAGGTGGTGCTTTGGGTGAACACTTCTGATGTGTAAGCACTGCTGTGGGTATTCTCCTCTGGCTCTCTATGAACCAGCCACTGTTTCACTATAAATTCCTCCATGACCCGCCGTCTTGTTACATCGTCTACCACCAGTAGCAATTGTGCCATTAACAAAGCCACACCAGAGAATAATGTGGGCAAACTGGGGCAATAAGAAAGTAAATCAGTCTCTTGTTTGGTGGAACACATATGGCACAGAGTTGTTATAGCGGGGCACGGCTTCAGATGAGGAACGCTGAGTCATCTCAATGCTTACCCAACCTCATTCAGAAAAAAAGTTTCTCTCCTTTCCACATACACCTCCTGCCATGGGACCCATAACACAGGCACTGAAGAGTAGGTCAGTCAGACAGCTGAAAATAATATCTTTGCACAAACGTTTTAAAATGAATATCAGAGTATTGGAATCATGACTCTTTTCTTCAGGCTAATTTTTAAGTTTTACAGTTTTTTTTATGTGTATACAGTCAGGTCTTTCTAATTTGCAGTTTTGACATATGCCACTACAACAAAATCCAGGGAGTGGGGGGGGTTGTTGCCCAGAGGCCAGGACGATGGGCCGTGGCCAGTATATCATAACAACATTTGGCCGGCATGTGGCGTGAAAGTAGCTCAGGCTGACCTGACTCGACACAGTGTATGTCGCCATTAACGCGCTTTAAAGGTAACACAATACAGGTGTGTTTCAGAGCAGAAAGAAGCAGCACTGAGGAAATCTCTGCTCTGCTGCGGTGATGTCATGTTTCAATGTGTTGGCTCTGGTTTTGTCGTGCTGGGCCAAAGTTGCAGGAGGAGACTGCATTAATGCCAACTTTTGTCAACTGAGACGAGGGCAATTTTTTTTCTCTGTCTGTCTGTTTAGCTGTGTGTGTGTGTGGGGGGGGGGGGGTCTGATTCCCACACAAATCTGTTCTTAAATACATCATGTATACACGTGCACACGTGCACGCACACACACAAAGCAGAAAGTCTACCAGTCATTAGTGTGTTTTTATAAGTTAACTGAAGATTAGAACCAGATGGCCATTCTGTTTCCTCCTTTCTTCCCTTCAGCCTCTCTCTGCTCTCTCTCTCCTTCGCTCTCTCTCTCTCTCTCTCTGTGTTGTTGTCACTCTCTCTTTTCTGTCTCTCAGTTGTGTCAAAATGAAGATGAAAAGACAAGACACTGCTTCTTTCATTGCACGAGAACACTCATCTGTTTCTCGCTGTTTGACTGCACATGTCCGCATCACACATTCAGCACATACAGCTCATCCACAGCCGAATGAATCTTTACAACAGGATGAGAATAAATTATTTTTAGACCTTTCCATATTGCTAACTTGCCCCATTTTTTGTCTCTCTCTCCTCCCTCCTTTATTTTTGTGTCTGCTGTGTCGAACATCATTCTGAGTAAACGTAGAAAAGAAGTTGAAAGGTCAGCTGTGAGCAGCCTTTTGGGCCCCCCCCCCCATTACTCTCTTGTTGTCACCCATCCTCACTTCTCTCCACATTCAGCTAAAGTATCAGACAGATTGAAATTCAAAAGCTTTATTGGCACAGGAGGAAAACCTGTTGTATGAATTATTGTATTTTCAAAGATGTAACTTTATGCAAATATATATGCCTTGATAACTACATCAGTTTCTTTTTTGGTTTCTGCGCAGTGCAGCAATGGTGGACAGGTTTAGGAGTTAAAAAGTGTAGATTTACTTTATGTAGCAGTGAAACATTTCCCTAAGCAGCATGCTATAAATTAGCAGTAATGCAGCATTTGTGACAGGCCAAGCAGAGCAGCTGCTGTGCCATGTATGCAGCTGGTTCACTGTCTCAACTCAAGTGTGCTGCTCATTTTTATTCCAACACAAGTGGCCTAACACTCACATCATTTATGATGGAAACTCTACTCATTTAAAGAATGACAATACATTTTGCCCGTTGTGATCTTTATTTTAATTGTAAAATAAGATTAGTGTGCTTCTTTGTGTTCATGGGATTTTAATCGAGTACATTTTTCCCACACCAAGCTACCTTTTCACCGCATTAACACACAAAGGGCACGAAGTACAGCTGATCATATCAGCTCAGGTTTCCTATCAGGATTAGGGTTGGGTATCGTTTGGGTTTTTAAAAGTGTTCAGGTGCCTGAAGCCAATTGGAAGTTGAAGTTTAATAATAAGTGCAAAACTCTCATCAAATGTACACATTCACACAATAAATAAAACCTAAACCAACTTTAATAATTAAACATTAAATAATAACAGTTTCAGTGCTTAATAAAGCAAAATATTCCAGCTCCTAACTCTTCATCAATTTTCTTGACACACCGCCAAGGCCCACACTGCCGGATGATGTGCTCGACATGAGGTCACGCAAAGAGGTCAAACACATGTTTGTCCCTTTTGGTGGAGTTGTGCACCTCCCGGTTTCAGAATCCTTTCTCGTGAAGTGCAACCACATTTTAGACCGTTTAAGTTGTAGACATTTTGTTGTTGTGAGGTAGCAACTAGTTAACTGTAGGCTAACGTTACATTCTGCCAGAGCCTTGTAGAGTGTGTTGCCACCAGAGTTAAGTGTAATATTAACTATGCATGTGCAATGATGTTTATGTTGCCAGCGAGCAGAGCAACTATTTCAGTACAGAGCTCAGGCACCGAAATGAGACACCAAAATGTGCATCGTGATTCGGTCTGGTAACTACTGTTGCCAGCCCCTTGTGAATTCCCCAGGCTCTGTCAGTGTACGTCTACATAAATGAATCAACTGTCCTATTTTTACCAGTTCTAGTTGTTTGCTGCTGTGCTAAAAGTTAAAAGAACTCAGGAAAGCTTTTACAGCATTCATCTCCGCTCACCTTTCTCTCTCTTCTTCCTGGTTCTGTCCAAGTGATCTTTGAGCATTATGCGAACTTGTCTCTCATTGGCTAGGTCTCGGATGAAGGCGTGTCTCAGCAGGGCGTCGGTGGTCGGTCGATGCAGATGGTTCTTGACCAGACAATTATCAACAAACGACAGGAAGCGTTTTGACCTGTGCGAGACAGAGACAGAAAGAGATGGACACAAAATCCATGACTATGACAGTAGTACAGTAGGGCTGCACGGTATTAGGAAAACATGTGATATATGATAAAGTTGTTGAATATTGCGATGACGATATGAATTGCGATAAACTTGTAACTATATGGCGTTAAAGTCTTTCTGCTTTGGTTTCACTGTTAACATAGACCCAATACAGTACGTGGTCTATGTAGACATTGAAAAATAAATGAAAAGCATTATTTTCATTCCAAATGGCTATGGACGCAGGGATAACGGACAGCTCCACAGACCGAGGGAGAAGTCGCATGGCCCCGGTCACAGCGCCCCCAAGTCCGGACAGACACCCAGGGAGAGATCCGCAACTACACTAAACACAATTCCATTAATCCATTTTGTGTCTTTTCATACGTGAAGTAATTTTTTTTTACAGTTTTTTAGCAGCTCTGTCAGTAATTTACTGCTCCTCTCAGTGTTTCTATCATTCGCGCTCTGCACTGTGCCAACCAAATCGAGCCAAACCAAGCGTGCCCTGCCATCTCCTCCGGCTCTCCATACATTGTCTAAGTTTGCAAATTCTGCTGTTTTTACCCAGACTGAGTTTAGACACATGTCGGATGGCACTGTGGTGTGTGTGTGTGTGTGAGGCAGAGAGAGAGAGAGAGAAAAAAAAGAGGAAAAAGAATGAGCGGGACAGCTGATGAATGTGCTATTTCATGCACTGTTAAATAATTTACATTATTTAAAAATAAATGTAGTCATTTTCAATTCAAAGTTTTATAGACATGACCATTATCAAAGATAAGTAAATATAAAAAAGGAAAAGAGAATATAAATAAAGCTAAATCACAATGTAATAGAATGGTATTAAAACAACCATGTACATTATTCACACATATTAACATCAATGGCAGTGTCTATATCTTGCCACAACATTCACAAATATATTGTTTAACTCACCTACAGTGCACAAGCTAGTCCTCACTTCTTTGAGTGGTACCAAGGAAAATCCAGGCAAAAATGCGGAGTGGAAGTTTAGGCAGCGTCCCTGTGTACTTAATGTTTGAGACGTGCTGTCTGTGGTCTTAACTCTGAGAAAATAGTGAAGCAGTGTGTCGCTGCTTAGTTTTGGGGTTCCCAGTCGCCTTAGGGCGGCCTGGAGGTGGAAGAACGGTAAAGCATTGATACCACAGTCTGTTGACACTATAAAAAACTGTCCTTTGAACTTGTATATCTGTTTACATTAATACTGAATGAAAGAAGGCTTGAGTTCGAGTTCAGTCAGAAGAGTGTATTCATTATGTATGGGAGAGGAGGAGAAGGGAGGACAGTGAACGAGAGAGACAGATGGATAAATGATTTTACTGAATGGATCTCCACTCTTTGCAGGAGAGGTTTTGTTGTTCTACCTTCCACCTTAAAATACTTTTCTTCCTTAAAAACCTCAGTTTTAGGGATCATTGTCATGATGGAGCTTTCTTTTACTGGCAAGCATCTTGAGACTGAGAGTATTAGAGCCATATTGAAATAAGAAAAAAAAATCTGAGATTTCAAGAATATAGTTGCTATATTGCAAGAGTAAAGTAAAGGGAAAATTCCATGGTAAATTTTTATTTAAAAAAAAAAAATAAAATAAGAAATAATCAGTAAGGAGAAGTGCTCGCTGGAGTTCCACTTTTTCTGAATCCAAAATCTTCAACCAATGTCATTGTTTCTTGAGAAACTATGAAACATCTTTGAATTTCACGCAGATGTAACCAACGATAACGTCAACCTCCACCAAACATTTTCTCCTCCACAAGATTTATAAAGTCACTGTGGTTCTTTCTTCTGCATAAGCAGTTTCTTACACAATCTTTTCTTATGAAATTGTGGTGATGGTGAGCGCAACAGATTATTTTTTGATTTTCACCTGCTAAAATTGCAAATTTTTTATCGTAATATAAGAACTTATCGTAATGTCTTAAATTTAGAAATCAATTTCCTTATAATATTACAACTTTCTTTTCACAATCTTTTGACTTTATTCTTGTAAAATGCATCTATGAATGTCACCTCCACTACACCTTGCGCCCTCATATTTACTAGTGTTTTACATATTTGTTTTTGTTATCTATGTGTTATGTGTAATAAAATGTTGAGCATGATACTGTATATACCATAAGCCCAGGGATAATAGATAGGGATAAGCACTGTGCTAAATCTGTTAAAATATTTGACACTGTCCCTGTTTTAAATGAACCAGTATCAACACAGTCCTTTCACAATCGACCCTGTAGACTAGTTCCTGTGGTTGTTGTGACCTGGTCCACCCCAAACATCCAGGCATCTATCTGGTCCAATCAAAGTTAATGTGGTTTTATCCGACCAAAGAATGTGCTGCCAATATTCATCAGGCTTTTTGTCATTCTCTGGCAAAGTCTGATCTAGCAGTTTTGTGAGCGGTGGTTTTCTTGGACGCCATGTGTAGAGTTTGACTTTCTACCACTGTCTAATCAGTTGCTGAAACCCTGATTTCCTTGTGACATACCAGAGGGGGGACTGCTTGCACTGTTATTGGTTGTATGGCTCTTCCTGTTCCTCCTAACCACCTCTGCAACTGTATTATGTTCACAGGTTATTTTATAACTTTGTTCATACAATTAGCCTCAGGTGTAATCCCTAATGTTTCTAACTCTGGACACACCCGCGACTTTGAGGTTTTTTTCTTTGGAAAGAGAGAGTTGGGATATACTTCGGCTGATTGTCTGAGGCATGAAACCCACAACAAAGTCCACTTTCAAGTCATGTTTTCAGAGGAGAAAAGTTGAACACTGCCCTCTACATCCTGTGTGTGTATGTGTGTATGTGTGTGTGTGTGTGTGTGTGTGTGTGTGTGTGTGTGTGTGTGTGTTTTGTATGAGAGAGTTCAAAAGCTTACCATTTCTTTGACTTCAGTTTGGGTGGAGCGTTCCGTGGAATTAAAAATAGTGCTCTCATTGGATGCATGTCACACAGAGCTATAAAAAGAGACAGTGGGGCAGAGAGGTAGAGAGAGAGTCACGGTGACAGTAAGAAAGAAAGATGAACAAATAACAAACTAACAATTAACAATGAACAAATTAGATGGGGAAACAAAGCAACAATCCGTTAACATACATCCATTATGGTTTTGTGTGTCACTTACGAGGGGCTCCTTCAGCCATCTCTAATGCGGTGATGCCTAAAGACCAGAGGTCACTCTGAAAACCAGAGACAGGAAATGGTTAAAAATGGTACACAAAGCTCGGCTTGAGCTCCAGTCATTTCCTGTAAACTCTGCATGTCCTCCTTTAATTCAAATAGTAAATCAGTTTGTGCACGGTGTGGGAGTATAGATCCAGGGATTACAAAAACAATTTTAAGCCAAACTTCTGGCAATTTACAAAGAAACCGTGGATTCAAAAGTGGTTGAATGATTACTTCCAGAGAAGGATAGAATTAGCTGAATTTTCACTGAAATGTGTTTCTGTGAACCATGATGTACATAATCACTTTGGGTAGATGGAATGAAAATGCTTGCTTGAAAAGTTTTGTCAGGAATCAAATTGTTTTATGAATAATGATGGAAACCTGCTGGGTGTAATACAAGGGAATGGAAGTCTAGACTTAGTCTCTTCATGTGCCGTTAGCAGATTGGAGGGCAATCAGATATCAAAAATGGATTGTATAAATGCAAATTAAAGATTTAAAACAACTCAGGAGATTTGTTCGAGCCAGATGCAAACGCAGCTGTCTCTCCAAGGTGCATATGCCAGCTTTACTTCTCCCATTTGTGACTGTAACAGTAAGTGGATGATGATTTTTCCTATTTTTATAATGGTACTATATCAGCTACAGACGCAGTGAATTAAACACATCATGCAGACAAACATAACACGCTGTTGCAGCATTTATCTGATCCTTGATCTGCTCAACCAATGATTGATTTGTGTGGGTGAGAGAGGACTGGTTTGTACTGTGAACTGAACTGAAGAAGCCTCTTAGATGTTAGATGAAAAGATTAATTTAAATACATGATGTAGCCCCTAAAATGAGCTTTGGTTTGACACACGCTGTCTGCACTGACTCTGAGGACACACAGTAGTGGAGAAGATTGCAATTACTAGTTAACAAACACATATGGACCTATTTTTGTGCACTACAGTGCAGAGAACGTGACTGTGCTCGTTTGGTTTATTGGTGACAGGATGCGCCTGGCACATCTGGAAAGAGGGGGAGATTGTACTGGGTGTGTTAGCAGCAGGGAATGACTTAACAAACCAGACATTGTTTTTAACTTCCCTTCCTTCCCTTTAAGGAAAGTGTGCACTGTGCAACAGTGTCGTGTCACTTTGGTGAGAAGAGACTGTCTCAGATAGAGAGAAGGAAGGGAGAGAGGGAGGGGGGCTGTAACATAAATATACATTTATATAAATCTATAAACTATCTTTACCCAAATCCAAATAAATATTTAGTTTCACAGGATAAAACCACTTAAAGGGAAGGATATATTTTTCATAAAGATACTCATCAGAATATGTAAATGGGTTTTGTCAGTGTCTGAAGACCCATGTCCTCCTCTGAGACCCAAACAATCCACACCCAGCTCCACGGGATCCTCTAAGAACGGGGATGTCATGTTTCAAAGGAAATGATTGGTCAGTAGGCGGAGCTTTTATATTGACTGATCTATTATCTTCAAAATAACCTCCGGAACAGGTTAGCTGTTCAGCTTAAGTTACCATGGTGATTTACCCTGATAAGAAGTGAACGATATCCGTAGGACAGGAAACCCCTAATTTAACCTGAAGTTCCCCCGATTAGCGCAAATCCAGCTTTGTAGTGCAGGGCCCAGGTGTTGGTGTGTAAATAGCAAAACAAAGTTTGTGTAATTCTTGCAAAATGCTGGAAATGGCAACACAGTGAGCTTCTTAGTTTCAAGCACATTCATGATGTCAAACGCTGGAGGGGAAAAATGGTAAAAAGCAGCTTTTTGGCATATTTACCTGCATTTAAAAAAGCCTGGGTAACCAGGATGGGTTGGATTTAGATTTGTGATCTGGTTTCGAAAGTAAAAATCTGATTCATTTTCTGAATAGACATTTTGATTATCAGCCATAATACTGCCAACATCCATGGTAGACTAACCACAAGCCAGCAGATTGGCTGATTGTAGGAGCTCGCATGTTACCATGGAAATGTTTACCACAACCGCAAAAACCACATGGTCGGATGAAGAAGCTTTACAATATATTTACCAAAGAGCAATCGTGTTTTAGACAAGAGGACAAGAGTGACATTCACAAGGGTGAATATCAACACAAATTTAAATTCTAGAAGCAGTGCTGGAAGTCATTAGAAAGGGATACTTCGCAATAATTTATAGGATTCTTCACTAATAAAATAATCATATCCAAAGTCTTGTACCTTTACCTTTTTTTTTTGTCTTCCAATGTTACTTTTTTGCTCCAAAACAGATGTTTAATTATCACGATTCATCTTGTAGCTTGTCCGACTGGGTCCAAGCTTAAAACTCTTAAAGCATTTTCTGCCTCACAATGTTCTCCATCTCACATGCATCTGTCAAATAGACATGGTTCTCTAAAGGCTGCATAATGGTTTCTGCTTCATTCAAGTAACCACATCCCGAACCTTTTTTCCACCCTAAGTCTATTTTTTGTATTTATTCATGAGCTTGACTACACTGATTGTGTGACATGTGTGACCTACAATCAATACTGCACAACTAATCTCTGTGCCACTGAATGTGCTTGATGAGTGGCTGCATGAAAGCTCACATATGGTTTGTGTTAACTGATAATAAAGAACGTGAACTTTCAAACTCAACTCACATTGAAATGTTCTTCGCATTTCTGCTAGATGCCCTAGACTTTTATATTCATGAGTCACACGAGCTGATGGGAACTAACATTATTCTCAGTGGGTTTTTCTTTTTTTGCAACATCCCAAGAGGTTACACAAAAATGTCCTTGAAGTTGGCCAGAATACTTCTGCGTCATCAAGTACCCTGTAGTCGTATGTGGCATCAGGGTTCTCATCACAAGCGATGACCTCTGGAGCCATCCAGTAGGGGGTACCAATGAAGGTGTTCCTTCGCCCAATGGTCTTGTCCAGCTGAGCCGACACTCCGAAGTCAACTGAAACATAAAGAAAAGTAGGACAATCCCGGGCGTGCAAACAACCGCAACTTCATTGAGATGTTTTTTTCTGTACAGTTGTGTGATTTATTTATGAATGTATGACTTTGATTGTTCTAAAGTGTGGCCTAGAGGGATGCACGTGTGTCTGAGAAACTGCAAAGCATGTGTAGATGTGTCATACCCAGTTTGACTTCAGCATTCTCTGTGAGCAAAACATTTTGTCCCTTAATGTCTCTGTGAATCACATGATGGGAGTGAAGATGGGAAAGACCCTGGAAGCAAACACACACACACACACACACACACACACAGTCAGATGACCATCACTATAAATACGAGGTCACAAACATTGCCTTCATTGTCTGTTTTCAAGAAATGATAAATAAAGATTGGGGTTCATTGCCTTCCGAGGCAATTCTATACATCTTTTCTTTAGGTGACAGATTGACCCAGTGGTAGTGGCACAGTTTTAATATGTGTGGATCAGTGTGTGTTTGTGTGTTCTTCTTCAAAAGAGGTTAAATACACAGAGGAAGTGAGTCTTATTTCAGACAAAGACATCACCGTGCTATGCGTCAGTTAGTGTGTGCACGCTTAAACAATGGGGAGACAGCATGGCTGACAGCAGCAGAGAAAACACTGGCGTCCATCCAAAGCCTGTTGTCTCTCAAAATGTTTCACCTCCCAAAAAAATAATCTCAGTTCAATGTTGTCCTTGATAATGTCAGCATCAAGTACATGATATGTTGGAGCTGAGTTAATATGTGCTGATACACTATGTGCAGAGAGCACTGTAAACATCCTGGAGTCCTTCTCAGGATCTTGTGATCTCCTATAATGATAACCATAACATCTTACAGACATGTGTATTAAACTGGCCTTTAAACTACATCAATGAGAAAAAGAATCAATTATTCACTCCACGGTGGGAAAACGAGCCAAAGAAGTATCCGTGTCAGCTCGGCTTCTTCTCTTTGACGATTTGAAAACAATCTGTGTTTCTGAGACAACAGCAGCAACTCTTCTGACCTGAGAGCCTTTACATCCGGAAGAAGGTCACTTTCATTGTTTGTGTATCTAGTGTAAGTTATTTGAAGACTGCAAGTGTCTCTGACTCCAGAACTGCAGGAACTAGATCTGACAAAACCCATGTATTATAATTATTACACTGTAAAACCTAACAGTACATCTTAATAAATGAAGTAAGTTACAGTAACTTAATTTACAAAAAAAGTTGAGGCCACTGTTTATCAATAATTTAACATAACTCAAAAGTAAATAATTGAAGTAATAACTTAGTTACTTTGAGTGCGATTACATTTTTAGATCATTTTYAGTACTGGTGACATAATTCAATTTGTTTCATTGACTAGTCTTCTTTAAGTTGATTTTATACTATTAAAAAAAATGCAATTCCCATGTGCTGCTATTTTCCTATATCTTWGGATTTTAAATTGTATTTTTGTTCTTGTTTATAAATCATCATATTGTGCATAAGTATGCATCCAGATCATCTTTAATAATCCTCCAAAGTGGAACCTTAGTATGGTTGTTTGTTACATTACGTACAAGCAGGTATTTTTGCAACTTGATTGACAGAAAATGAATTGCCAACTAATATGATACATGATTCATTGTGTAGCATATGTACATTTGAAAGTATAAATGACAATTGTTTCATATATTCAGCTTCTATGAGAATATATTGTTTTATTMTTCCTTGTCTTATAAATCTTTTAATAMTTTTGAGTGTTGAAGGATGGGGCAACTACATCACTGTGGGCTGAACTTCTGTTCATGATTTCCAAACGATTTTCCAGCCCAAATCATTGTCATATTTTATAGTCCGGACCATATTTCCTGCGTGTCACGGCTGCCTGGTTCCTAGTATTTCCTCGAATAAAAGCAGGGCTCTATACGCAAGTAAACGTCAAGACTCCACGTTYTTACTCCGTGCATCTTCRGCTCCTGCAACAATAAAACCTTGTTAATGTAAATTAATCGATTCAGTCAACAGAAACGCGAGGGTGCTTTTACTCTGAAACGGGCACAGGAAGAATTGATTGCTCTCAACCGGAAGACACGGCGCTGAGGTGAAGCGGCTCTCCGGCCAATCCACACCAGTAACATAGACAGCGAGGCCCGGGAGTAAACTGTGTCATATATTTAGAAAAGCTATTTCAGCGTTTACAGACTCATTCAACTTTATACGCCAACGTCACGTAAGTCTGCTCACAACCGGTAACCTGCCGTTCACCTGCTGTCGCACACGGTACCGAGGGGGGCGGAGGGCGGGACCGGCTCAAACCGGTCAGCACCAGGTTTGCACTCGGGACCGGAGTGATGAAAAAGATCGGCGCGAAGAGTTTTTTGCTGGACAAACTTCCCTACTGACCGAGAACCCCGCGACGATACGTCTTCCACGCAAGGTAACGTTGTCTTTTATTGCTGCTTTTCATGCTTTGGTTTTTGAAATATACAAGAAAAATGTCTGACCGCTGAAACTTGCTAAGGAGTTCGGTTAAACGGCGCTAGCTTGAAGCGCYCCCAATCCCGCTTCTGAAAAACATTCAAAAGTTAACGGRCCAACGTCGTGTAGTTTAAATTGGCCGGTGTTGGATTAACATTAGTTTGTGAAAGTGTTCGGTCAAGCTCCAGTTATAGTTCGGGTTCGGTAACGTTAAGGTAATAACTGTTCAACTATTTTAAAAGCACAGAATGAAAGAGAGAATGGTGGTGGAAACATGTTAGCTTGGCATGGTGCTTTCAGGCCCCACCCTGTTAACGGTCATTGTGGAAAAGTGGCAGGTGTGTGAAGACTCAAACCAAACTCAAAGTTTCTGCCGAGACTTTGAGTTCTACTTTCTAAAGTCAGTTGTTTTAAGGAGAGCAAACCATGTGGAAATGTAAATTGTGTGATTTTTCTACTGCCCTACAAATACAGTTATTGAGACATTACAGACTGTATCATGGCCAGTATTCCACAATTTCCCCTTTACCATGCCTGTTTAACAACTGTTTGTGTATACAAAGTTAAATGGAAGAGCAGCAGAAAAGTGTGCAGCCAATTTACAGATCATTGTGGTTGCTCTATTCAGCTAGTAAAAAACAAGGAGCCTTCACCTGAATTAACTATTTGTGTTTTGTGTTGCAGGTCTTCCTAATACAGAGTAAATGGATCCGAATGCTGTCCT